TTTGGTTTGTTGCATTGTACCTTGTGCGCGCCGCTATAATGTCATTTTCTTCTTCAGCAAGGGGTTTCTCATCCTCGCTGGTGTAGTCGTTGGTGATGCTAAATATTCCAGCTTTTGCATCATCATCTGGTCAGCAATAGTGTCTTCACTATGGATATAATTATTATCTTTGATGTCGCTGCGATCGACATCGGCAACCTTCGCGTCATCGAGTACCTCGACGCGTGATGAGCAAAAGCCAGAACGGTTTTTGATCCAGCGAATCCCTACACTTTTCAGTCAGAGTCACACTATAAGTAGAAGGGTAGGCGTGGATGGAACAATCCATGCACGAAGAATGGTTTATGCGTTGTGGACGCATGCACGGGCTTGTTAAATACGAAATCCACCATCGAAACAGATTCACTCCAATCTGTAAAGTATTGGACGTATCCTTGAAGTATATCTTTAAGAACACGGTTGACGCGTTCCGTCTAACCAGCTGTCTCGGGTGGGTAGATATTAAATTGGTCACGCGCGTCCCGAGATATCGGAACACGGATTGCCAGAAGTCGGCCGTGAACGGTGGATCTCAATCAGAGACTAGCTCACGTGGTTGACAGTGGAGTTGGAATACCGTGTCAATAAGTGCACGGGAACAGTATTCAAATTTGATAGACTCTTTAACGTCAGCAAGATGGTACACCTTGCTGAATCGGTCTACAAACACAAGATTATAATTATTTTTGTGAGCGTCGTCGGGGAAAAAGAAGACGAAGTCCATTGAGACGGACTGCGAGTACTCTGCCAGGATCGGTAGAGGACGTAGTGGCGAACATGATAAAGAACTAGTCTCCATACGTTGGCACAACATGCAAGCCCGAATGTACTTTCACACGTACTGATACTGGCGGGAACTAAAAGTCGCGACTTACCGTGAGTTTAGTCTTTTCTCTACCATGATGCCCATCGGTTGGTGCATCCTGACACTCGAAATGGATGCGCTATCTCAAACCATTATGAGTAGTAAATAAGAAACGAGAAATGTCGCCGGCAACGGCTGTGTGATACAGCAACCCGTTGCGTGTTGTGTATCGATCCGCGGATGATCAATACACAGCCGGTAAATCCTTATAAGATTTGCGAGATGGAGTACCCAGGATACCCATTAGGCGCAGAATAGCCTTATCTTCTCGATAGACCTTAATAATGTCTTCAATCAGTGTTATCGATGAAACACTAGTGACTAGTGTTGCAACAGTGGAACTGATCCCACTGTTGGCTTGCGCAGACGACTCCAAATCGGGTCGGCGTGACACCGCATCCGCGACGACATGTAGTCTCCCTGGCTCATATTCACGGCAAACTTATACTCCGCAAAGAAGGAAAGCCACCTCTTCATTCTTTACAAGAGGTTCAAGATGTTTAAAGCCGTAAGTAATGACGCATGATCCGTAGAGACTACAAACGGCCTATCTCCAAGGAGATAGATGCAAAAATTCGACGGTGCATACTTCTTGAAAAGGAGTTCCTTTTCATGCATAGGAAACTGTGTTCAGATGCTTACAGCTGACGCATTTAATATCAGACGACGCGCTCTGCACCTTCTTCAACTTAATGCACTAAGGCAATTTCGATTGCGAAATTGCTGGCGTCACAGACCACATGAAATGGTATGTCTTGGTCTGAAACCGCCACTATGAGAGATTGCATCAAGATCCTCTTGATACCCCTAAAGTGACGCTAAAGATCAGCGTTCCATGATCACTTCTCATTCTCTATAAAAGAAGAGATACGAACGGCCATCACACCGTAGTTGCGCGAGTACTTGTTTAAGTACGCCGATATAGCAAGAAACTTTTTAAGTCTCTTGACGTTGACTGATACAGGTCAATCGTCAAACGCCTTGATCTTTTCTGGATCTGGGATTAATCCGTGTTTTATACTATGGATACAAGAAGATGTGTTTGTCTAGCAGTGAATTTACACTTCTAGAGGCTGGCATAAAAGCTATGCTTGCGAGTAAGTGTAAAAAGTGACGAATGTGCGGTTTATAACCCTTTACATTTTCTTTCGATCCATAGCTCGGCTATGGGCGAATTTATCGTCGAAGTAACTCGATGCGAAGTCTCGCACCGGTCATAAAAAATCTGATGAATATGGCAGAGCCGTTGTTAAGCCCTTATGGCATTAATAGCCACTCCCAGAGCACACCGCTCAGGGTGCTTACTACCGTAGAGTGTAAATGATGTACTGTACACGCATAGTGATTCGATATAAGTCATCCTCCAACTCCATGGACGAGGGGACGGTCCTCCTCGACGTACAATAATTAAGTATGCTCTTCTGAAATATCGGCGTCCGAAACGGTTCCATTGCAGACTTCCATTTTTAGAATGCGCGCACTAGCTGCCATCTTCCTGTGGCCTGCGCGCACAGAAGGCCGGAGATCTGTGAGGACCAGTTGACTTTCTCACATGACCCGCAGCTAAGCGATCGGCTAAGTACTTATCAATCGATAGTACTTGACAACGAGGCAGTTGTCACTGCTTCATAAAAATGTACTACGAGCCCAGTTTGAGCTCGACCTCGTGTCGAGTGAATTTTTCCTTAGGCAAATCGCATGGCACGGATTTAAGAAACACGTCCAAATGTTATTGCAGAGGAGACGCCTAAAATTAGGAAGTGGATTGCATAATCCTAGTTATATCATCAAGTTCAGCTTCGTCCATCAATGGGCTACTGACGTTCAGACTAGGCGAATACTACTGCCGAACGAATTTAGGTCGCGTAATCGTCCCCTGTAAAGAGTACACGGATCTACTACACCTTGCAACTATGCAGAACTCGCAAGAACCGTTTCGGTTCTAGCTTTGGCAATTGTTTGTCCATTTAATTAAACTTCGGAGGCGCAATTTTATCGAGTTTATAAGCGCCTGTACTTGATTCGTCATCAGACAAGAAATTTAATGCCTCAGTTTTTTCCTGAGAACCATTTTCACATGATGCTGGGGACTTATTTCCACAGTTTGACGAGGTCTTGTTACCTCATCACTAACTGCTTGAGGAATCAATTCTTCATGTACGTGAGGGCTTATTCTCCCGGCATCTACTAGCTTTGGTTGCGCTACCACAGCTAAGTCTCCTACAATTCACTATTTAGACGATATAGGATCATCGTGTTGCCTTATGTGGTAAATTGATTTATTATTACTTATACCAACGCTAGGCGTGAACCTATGTCCCGATCCACTCGACTTATTCGAGTGGTAAAACTTTGCTCTGCCTGTGCTTCCGCACAGCCTCCGGCAGCTTCCTCCACAGTAAAATTGTTTGTCACACTGCAATCTTTCGCAGTCGTAAAAACGACTGTACCGCAAGTGAGTCTATCTCACTCACTCGCAATACATTTACATGCTTGTGAGAGCTCCAAGAAGTTCGTCAGATGGCCATCTGATGAACAAGTGGCAAGCATCTCCACGGTTTGATGCTGTTAGACAACCCTTGTCTCGTACCTTCTGGGCTAGTGTAGCCCAAGGATGACATCAAACTTGTCATCCAAATCAATTAAAAAATATCATTGGACGGCAAGCCTTTAAACGTGTAGCGAAATACTACCACGCGTTTTATCACTACTATCGATGAGACTGTTGCAAGGCGCACCGTCAGCCTCGATAGGGGAGTATCGAGCTTAATGAGCTTGAGCCTACGATACTTTAGCGACTGGCGACGGACAAAGATGTTCGAATCCCCACAGTCAGCTAAGTTACAAAGTGACAAATCTTTTGACAAGAATAAGCTTAAGGTGATGAGGTACAACATGTAACCATTTGCAGAGACTTCCCGTATTGTGAGTCTGAAGAAACTTTCATCAAAACTTCGCAAATTTTATTGAAGTTACTGAAAAAGTAGGGTGCACCGCCCCTACTGACCCCGGCAGTTTTTTACTGTCCGCCACGCTATTAGAACTGCGCAACAGTATCAGACCCGCGTCCTTTACCCTTTTTAAAAGACGGTTAATCACTTCTCTAAGAAATTACGAGACACTCGGCGTGAAGAAGTACACTCGTAGGTGTAGTGTGTAGCAGGGCTAGAAAACCCGTACTAACATACACTATCTACGCTTAGAAAGCCCAGACCCAAGATTTAGGTATAAAATATTTTTAAGTCTGTTTATATTTTTGACTCTTAAATCATCCTAATTACGAATGGCTCCCTTGGAATCATGGGAACCACTCATTTTTCGTGTCTATATCGTACTGGCTAATAATGGGACCAAGCCCATAAAACCGGCTAAAATGTACGACGTGCTACTTCCGCTACCTCGGAAGTAGATCCCCTACTTAGGTAACATGTAAACTTAATCGAATTACTTATGTAACGGGGTGGTCCATTACCTAACCCCCTTCTCAAAACAGCACTCACGAACCGTGAGTGCTTAACTGCAAGACCCCAACGGTCACTCAAACCAAAAGATGACTAAAGACGCGAATACCAACGACACAGCACTCCGCGCACAATCAGCGGGAGTTCAGGGTACTGCGTGATAGACCAGCAATTGATCCCTTGGGCGCTATACGACCTGTCCGGAGCTTGCTCTCCGGACTCACTTGATACGATGCAGCATTAATTCCTCCGCTTCCGCAGGTTGCGCGGGTAGTGTCTTGAAGGCATCTCCTATGACTCACTGCAGCGTTCTTGGTGCGCACACTCTTCTAGGCGATGGAATCGGATGCTTGAAGATGGAAGGAACTTCCAACATAGCTTGCCAATCGTGAAGCGATCCAGGACGATCATTCTATCGGCGCGCTGCGCAAGAAGATATGCGAGAATGCGTGGAGCATAGGCTGACTCTGCTACGTCCACGTGCACGAACCTTGTTACTTTTGTGACTTGACGCCTCGTCCAACTCGCGCAGCTTGGCGACAGCACGTCGCTGAGCACACCCCCCCCCCCCCGTGAATATGAACAGCTCTGGATTGAAAGGTATGAGCGCAGCTTGAGTCAGCGGAATACCGCAATTATTCGTGGCGCGTCGATACGGCGACACCACTCCCGTTCACGTGGTCGTGATGTGGATCTATCACGACGCTCTCGTTCTTCTGGTCGTGATGCAAATCTACCACGACGATTTCGTTCTCATGGTCGTGGTGATACACGTTCGCCACAACGCTCTCGTTCTCGTAGTTGTGGTGAAGCACGTTCATCACGACGACACTCTCGTTCTCGTGGTCGTGGTGGAATATCACCACGACATCGTCATCACTCTTAGTTTCGTCGTCGTGGTGACACTTCACCACGACGCCGTAGTCTATTGTCTCGTTCACCACGAAAGCACATAAGATGTCGGACGCATCAAGATTGGGCGTTTCCACGGACTCACATGCCCGAACGACGTCTGAAATGTCCTGAAGAAGGGACGAACGCGGTTTCCACGTATCTTGCTCAGGTGGAAACTCGATACAGCGCACACGATGCTTGCGTGCGGTTTGAACCGCACGCGCACGAAGTCGCGACAGCTTATATATCATTTTTTTCAGCTCTTTTTTTTGTAGTATATGTAACATTAATATACGGTTCAAAAAATTAAAAATTTAAATATTTAATTAAAATTAGTATACGTGTTGAGCAAGATGGGAGGGAAGGTCAACGTTTAAGCCTTTGCCTCCAGGGTCGGAACTAATCCGTGAAGCGTAGCAGGACGGGCCTCCTTCATTCTCCCGACGTATAACGTCGGGTGTAGGAGCAACGACGAAGGGAAACTCAGCGTGCAGGCGTCGCCGATCGCCTTGAGCACCATGAATGGACTCGTGAAACGTGGCGCGAGCTTACTCGCGCCTTAATTGGTAACTGACGAATTGCTTAGACCTTTAGTAGATAGCAACACACCGCCACCTTTCTTGAATGTACCGATGGTCTTTCTTCCACATTTGTCTGCATACTCTTTCTGCTTATCCACTGCTGAACGAAGAGTATCTCGTAAAAACCTCGTTATCACTTGACCATGAAGTATGAACTCCGACACAGCCATGCCATCAATTGGTCGTGCCGACTCAACTGGCGCGTAGTTGGATTTAGGTGAGCGCATACCCGAAGAAGGATCAATCAGTAAAAGTGTAGTCCATGGAGCCAGCGGGGACGCCACGTCTCGTGGCGTCATAACAGCGGACTTCGACTTGGAATGGTTGACTACATTTCCGCTCAGAATACCGTGAGCTGCACTCGATCGTCGATTGTCGCTTTCACCCCCCTCCAGAGTGGAGCCAAAGAGCTGGATATGTGGGATGACCCACGGCAAAAGGAGTAGGACTCGAGGGTGACAAGCTGATTTCGCAAAGAATGACTTCAACCCCATTGACGCGTGAACAGCGTTGCTGAGTGGAAACTTAGCGAGTGGCAAGAATGCACTCCAATATGTGAAGGAAGAGCATAACTTCGAAGAACATATTTAAGGAACCATTGACCCGCTCTGTTTGCCTATTCTTTTTCGGATGGGCTGCCGTCGATATCTGCAACTTCGTGACAAGGAGCTCAACATTGAAGTCCAGAACGCAGATGTGAAGCGAGGATCACGGTCCGAGACAATGTCGTCTGGTAAACCGTGATGGCGAAACACTGGGTCAATGAAGTGCACCGCGGTCTCAGCCGCGGTGATTGTTGCATGAACAGGCACCAAGTGTGTCATCTTGCTGAATCTGTCCACGAAGACCAGGATGCCGATCCGGTTCTGACTGTCGGGCGCTGGCTCCAAGATTAAGTTTATCGACACTGAGCGCCAAGCCTGAGCTGCGATCGGCAAGGGTCGCAGGGGGGCCTGCGACGATGTAAATGGTTTCACTCTTTGACAGATTTCGCATGTGCGAATCCAGTTGCGAGCCCACTTGTACATGTGGGGCCAGAAAAAGTCACGCGACACAGCCGCGAAAGTCTCCTCGTGGCACAAAAGACCGCCAGATGGGGCATCATGGTACTCGTGGATGAAACGAGCACGCAGATCCAAGTCGTTTTCGATTACCGTTCGAGGAGCATCGAATCGATCGTTGCTGTATAACAGCAAATCACCATCTACACTGTTTCGATGGATGTGATCACTCTTCGTTCGCGAAAGAGCTCTTAGTGATGATGCACTGGGAGCGCGCAGATAGTTCATAATGTCCGCGTAGTCTGGATCGTTCGCGTAAGCCGCGACAAATTTATCGAAAAGGCATAGCTCATGTGTGACCCGAACAAAGTTCAATGACACACACGTCGCAAATCGATCGTCCTCATCTTTGTCGTCAGTAGCCTGGCAACTGAGTGCCATCCGAGGTTCGTAATCCGGGCGTCGTGACAGCGCGTCCGCAAGAATGTTTTTCTTGCCTGGATTGGATTGCACGACGAAGTTGTACTCGTAGAAGAAAGAGAGCCATCGTTCCATTCGCTGCGACAGGTGTGGGCTCTACATCGCTGTGCGCAGCAACGCATGATCAGTATACAGGGCGAAAGTGCGTTCGCCCAGTAAGTGTACTCGAAAATTAAATAGTACATAGCGCATCGCTAGCGATTACTGGTCGTGGACCGGATAGTTCTTCTCCGCCGGCTTCATCTGTCGCGACTGGTCACTCACGACTCTTTCACGGTCTTCATGATCGCACTGCATGAGGGCGCAACCCATAGCAAAATCACTTGCATCACACACCACGTGAAACGGCTTGGTGTCGTCCGGGAGTACTATTACTGGCGCTGACGCCAGACTATTCTTCACTGCGTCGTAGGCCGCTTAATGCTCGAAACGCCACGACCACGTGGCGCCTTTTTCCTTCAGTGACGACAGAGGTTGAATAGAACCGGCTTAATCCTTGGTGTACTTATGCAAGTAGTTGGTTAGACCGATCCATTGACGCAGCTCCGTAGGGTTCTTGAAGTTGGCCAAGAACAGATAGGTGACGCCTTCTCAGAACCGGCTCTAACCCCCGATCTGCTCACATAGCAGCCCAGCACCGAAATCTCCGGTGCACAGAATACGCACCTATTTTAGTTTGCATACGACTTTTTATCTCGCATGACTTGAAACAACTGTCAAATTTTGAAGATGCACTTGGACAGCACTACGGTTGCCCCCAGCGTGACTGTGGACAAATATTTCATCGAAGTAGCTTGGAGCAAAGTCTCGGAACAGTCTTAACACTTGAGACACCATGCTATTGAAAGTGGCTGGTGCATTCATCAATCCTTCTGGTATCACCAGCAACTCCTATATCATACCACTTGGCGTGCTCACCGCTGTGAGTGGTATGGCGCTCTTTCTCATCAGAATCTGGTAGAAGCCATCGGTGAGGTCGATGGCGCTACAGACCACACTTCCCGACATGGATATCAATACCATGTCTTTCCTGGGGTTGGGCGTTTGGGCGGGGATAGTGGAATCGTTTATCTTTCTAAACGCATGCACTGTCCGCCATCCTCCCGTAGCCTTCTTCACACAGAAGATCGGCTCGAGTGTGGTGAGGTACTCTCACGCACGTGGCCCGCCTTGTGACGACCTTCAAAAAAATACATCGATGGTCTCGACCTGGTCTCGAGGCAACGGCCACTGCCGGGTCACACAGTACGTTAAACCTGGTACGAGATAAATCTCGTTCCGCGCGCCACGATCGGCAGGAAGTTGAGCCGGAATCTTGTCCGGGAAGACGCCTGCGTACTATTGAGCAATCTCGTAGACAGGAGAACCAAAACTACGCAGATCCTCCCATGAATGCGATGCAAATCTTTTTTCGCGCGCTGACTTTGGTTTAGCGCTTCGAGGACGCGTCATGTGCTCCTCGTTTAGCTCATGAGTCACCTCGTTGGTGACCGGGCAAACCTGTTCTACCGTAACTCCTTTTAGGTCACGCAGGCAGTGCTTCCAGGAGAACCCTGGAAGCCTCGTAATCGAAGACGCGTCGCGAGATGGACTCGCGACTTCATTGTATTACCGCCTTTGCGGACTGCCTTCCACGTACAAGACAGCGTGGACGCATTCCAACGCTGCATTTTTGATGCTTGCGCCACCATCGTGCTTCGAGTTCATGCTCGAAGCTGGCGATCCGCAGCTGGGTGACATCCCATCACCTTCCTCTAGACACTGGATGTCCTCATCCAGGATGTCGAAATCGCGTGACGGGAGTACCTCATACTCGTCCGTCGACGCTTGAAGCGGGAGCCCCTTCTCAATCGCTGTAACCCCGTGTGGGAGCCCCAGCTCTACCACAAATTGCCCATGTGGGAACCCCGTTTCAACCACAGTGGGCGATATTGGGAACTCCTTTCCGACTATCCCGTTATAACGTGGGGACTCCTGTCCGTCCACGTCGCACTCGGTGACAAGCTCTTGCTCGTCCTCACATTGGTTGCGTAGGAGCCTCTGCTCAACCACAATAGGTGCAGGTGGGAACCCCGGTTCAAACACTGCTCTCTCTTGCGGGAAGATCTATTCTACCGCGTCTTCCTCGTGCGGGAGCTACTACTTGTCCGCGTAGGCCTTGTGCGGGAACCACTGCTCGTCCGCGTTTTTTCTTTGCTGCAAAGCGAGGAAACATCGTATTTTGCGTTCAAAAGAACGGCTTAGCGGTGCATAGAGGTCCATCGCATGCACTGTGCACTGCCGGTGTCGTGTTCTCACGATCCACGACTACGACATTTAAACGATTACTTGGGGACACCAAGAGATAAGTAATCAGTTCGCTGACGTCTAACTTGCGTCCACATCTCACTGACCTTGCTAACCAGTAAATCTGGGGCTTGTAACGTGCCACCTATGGCATGACCAGGATGCAATCGAATGCATAATTCATCTCAATCACCTAAATATAGGCGCTGCTCCAAAAGCCGTCGAACGTGTACGGGAGCGACACTTCGAGCCGCGATACGCGGCGTGGTTTCCCGTCCGCAATCTCGACGACAACTTGGCCAGGACCCTCGCGGAACTGGATGCTGGGTGGCAGCTACGACACACAAGATTCACGAAAGAATTTGTTTGTCGCTCCCAAATCCAGGGGCGCTCGTAGAGGTCGCCGGACACCAGCGACGTGCAGACGGACAATGATCAGGCGTGAAAAGCCACTCTCAGTGGTGGCAATTTACCGTGTACGCAGCACATGTGCGCTGGGAAGTCGGGCTGCCACCGGTGGACCCGGACCTCCCTCCAAACTAGTAGGGAGCCCTGCACCTACTGGTATCGTCCGGTTTTTGAACGAGTGGGCGGAGCACCTTTCTCATGAGTGTCGGTCGCCTGTAACATTGGTGCTGGCGCGCGGCAGTCTTTCGACATCGAAAGCAGATCGTCTGACGTCCGCTACGGACGTCACCCTTGCAGGACGTAGCACGTCGTCGGCCACCTAACGACTCAATTACATTAACATCCATGAGTTCCGGGCCCGCTGATCTGACAGCGGTAACAACTGAAGGCTTGGTGTAGGCTTTGGTTACTCTAAAGTCCTCATGGAGGGCGATAGCGAAAGCCTCCGTCAACGTAGCAGGTTCCGCGCGTTTCAGCGATAGGCGAGTCTGCCCTTCACGCACGCCATCGACAAAGACGTTAACTTGTGTGTGTATTCCCATAGGATGCGTGACAATGTACGACGCCAGATGTCGAGCCATCTGCACGTAGTCGCGCATGGCCATCATGCATTGTCTCAACGACAGGAATGTTAAACGCATCATCTTCTCTTCTTGTGGCGGCTCGAAGGCGAGTCGAAGGTCACTCTGGATAGCTTCCAGAGTGGAGAACGCATACTCGTCCACATCGAGTTTACCCAAAGCCCACTCCTTGGCTTTCCCAGTGAGACGGGAAAGGAGGAAATTGACCTTCGCTTGAGGAGCCTCGAGAAGTTTCGAGGCTATAGCAATGTCAACCTCTCGAAACCAACGCGACAGCGACAAGCGTTCTTTGCCTTCGCCAGAGTAGACGGAGTTCTCCGTCTTCACGGCATTGTTCCGTGAAGTCCACGAGAGAATTAAACCTCGCCGTTTGGGTTCGGCGAGCTCGCGAGTCATGAAGTCGTTTATGGCGAGACGTTGTCCATCAGGAGTCGCTGATTTTATCAGCGACACAACGAATCCCTCTACAGATATCACCGCGTGGCAATTTAAAGCATCCCACTCAACACTAGTGAGATAAGGAAAAGTTGCATGCTCCAGAAACACATCTGGAGCTTCAAAGCACGACCAACCGGTCATCCCAAACTTGGGCATGGGAAGGACTACTAAATGCTACCAGGTGTAATAGGGCTAGAACAACCCGTGCTAACATACACTATATATGCTTAGGAAGCCTAGACCCAAGTTTTAGGCACTAAGCATTTTTAAGTCTGTTTATGTTTTTGACTTTTAAATCATGTTAAGTACGAATGGTTCCCTTGGACTCATGGGAAACACTCAATTTACGTGTCTATATCGTACTGGCTAATAATGGGACCAAGCCCATAAAACCAGCTAAAATGTACGACGTGCTACTTCCGCTACCTCGGAAGTAGCTCGCCCACTTTTGCATTAGCTTACTGTTTGAAGCGCGAAGTCTCGCTCTCGACACTGAGAGGTCCATTGGTTTTGGAACCTCGCCTCTTCTTGTCTGGAATTACTACAAGGAGTCAAGCTTTTATGCCCTACACTTAAGTCCACTTGCACCGCAGTTGTAATCGCTTTTTCAAGCGACACTAACTCGAATCGGAACAGGCGGTTCCTCACGGGACCATTTGTTCGGCCATGTAAGAATAACGTTATCGACACAAATTTACTTACAGCACTCGCAACATACAACTTGCAAGGTTAAGAACAGACTGAGCGCTAGCGTGGACGTCACGCTTACCTTGTTACATCTTCGGAAGATCTGAAAGAGTCCTGAGCTCAGCTCGTGGCAACTCAAAAGTTAGGCTGAGCATAGTTTTAAAGACCGCCAATGATCCAAACACGCTTGGATTATATTACTGAATAATCAAAGCCCATGTTCTTGCAAGACCTGACACCTTTGATTTGGCAAACGAAACTCGCATCTCCTTATCGTCGATTTGGCGCCTTATTGGCATCATCCAATTAGGTTAACTCGACTCCTCGGTACATGGAGACCTATATTTCTAAAGTCTCGCGTCGCATTCACTTGTTAACGCTGAAGAAGCAAATAATGATTTTTCTGGTTTAGAAAACCAGTCTGCTGATGACCGTGATGGTGATGCAGAGTCAATTCAGCTTGCGACGTGTCAAGTTCTTGCTTATCGAACTAGGTGTATACGGAATGCTGCTGGCCCTTACCTCTTAAGAGTCGCAGAGACCAGACAGCTTCTTCGCCAATGGTTGAAATCGTACGTTTTATCGTACTAAATTATGCATCACTCAAAAAGAAGTAACTTTCACGGCTGACGTAAAAGTTGTCGTCGCTTTCATCGTCCAACAAGTTCATGTTGAACATGTCTTGTGGTCGTTGTACGGATTAAGATGTGCTAACAATTGTGACGGGGTAACAAACAACACACTGGACAACCAGTGTGGAGCTCATATCACCGACAGCAGTGTGAGGGGTGCCTCGCTACCTCTATTATCTCGGCAGATGAAGGTAAAACAACCAGAAACTGACCAGTGTGGTAAAAGTAAAATTGTGTTAAATAAAATTAAGTCTCGATCATAAATCTACGTTTTAGTCCGACCTCAATTATATTTATCGACACAAATAAATGTTGAAGTCTTGCTCATCATTTATTGCGCACATGCATCGGTAATTGGACCGCTAGAGCTAACTCTTGTGATGACCATGTCAGTCAATCGGCAAGTGGTTCGAAATACTACTCCTAATGCTAATGTTTACGAACATTGTCAACCTTTACGATAATATTCTAGTTAGCAAGTATCAAAGGTTCATTACATGTAACAGTCTCACCTCGTTATAGTATCCTTCTTGCGCATATCGCATTGACACCTTACTTATACATATATAAATAATCCCATTCAGTCGATGTTGCGTAGCAATCTCAAAGCCATTCTTAGATACATAGGTGTAAGCAGCTTCCTCTGTGAGCTCTAGATTATTACAGGGCGTTTACTTAAAGGAATTGGACGAAAACTAACTAGACTCACGTACTCTGGTCTATTTAAATAAAAATTTCTTAGGCAGGGAGTGGAAGACAAGGGTGTATAAAATTCGCGAATTGGCTGCAGTACCTGTATGGTTAGTGCGAGCTTCAAGGGCGAAGCTTTAAGTGACTGTGCGCAAGGCAAATGCAGAATTTTTATATTGTAGTAATAGTGTGTCTGTCTGTCTGTCTGTAAAAAAAACGCGGCTACGTAAAACTTTTACGTCCTAAGTGCGATATAGCCTGTCTCCACCTCCTAGATACACGGGTGTATCCAAAGCTGTTATTTGGATAGGCCACGATTGCTACGCATGCGAGTAATTGGTTAAAATGAAAGAAATGCTGAATGCTTATTAGCAAAAGCTGATAGTGTTGCCCTAGCATACCGTGCTGGGTTACTACAGAAATTACGAGCATCACACTCATTCTACAGTGAATTTGTTGTATAGTGTCTTGCAACTTGTTAAAGTTTTACAAACTAGATTAACTGTATCATAGGACGAGCTTTAAATCTTTTTCCTCTACCTATAAAAATTTGTCCAGGAAGTATTCATAAATTTTAAATGGAACCTTAAAAACAAGCAACTTGCATAAAATTTCAAGTGGATGGCCGCAAATAGTTGACGGTCGTAAAATAATGGGATAGACTACAAGTATGTGAAAGGACATAATCCCTTCCTAAACTTTATTCTAAAAAGTGCAAATCTACCGCCGTCAATTTGCGATTCTCGTACAGGATGTCCTTGAACAACCCTCCACGAAAATCCATTCAACAAAACGACCACAATGCGTCATTCTAGTTGGTCTCCCTTGTACACTCTTCCAGCAGATACTTACAACAATAAAGAGCTCGCAACAGAAGATTATCACGCCTACGAATTTGATAATAGCGTTTTGATTGTTACGCAAAGGTAGGATAAATGGAAATATCTTCCATCCATTAGTAAGATTTTATGCGATGTGTGCAAGGAGGGCACCATCGCATCGGGTCATCAAAAGGGCCCATTTTAAAATCAAGGCACAAAAAGAGTGAGCTGTGCTTACGTATTTCCTTCCTCCTGATAAAGAACAGTGGACCATGCGTATAACATCAGGTGTACCATACCGGCTTGAATAGTCCCCCTCAACAGGTGTGGGTGGAATTGTGATCACCACTCTTATGCGACCATAACTTCCAATCTTGCTGGGGCGACAAGGACGGTCATCTACTGTTGTAGTGCTGCTTTTTATATGCCGCTACATTTTTAGTTATGCAAGAGCTAATTCTGGTGTCATTGCTGATAGGGGGATCCTAAAAATCAAGCTTATCTCTTAACAAAATAAGCGGATAGATGCAAATAGGTGGTTAACCTAAAAGCGTAAGAACATCCACACAAAATGTGGAAACTGTTAGGGAATGACCAGGTGAATAGAAAATCTATTAAAACCATTCTGATGTAGACATTTGAGCCAGTCGCCGGGCGAAGTATTCCACAATAAAGGTATTAGTCACAGCTTAGGACAACAAGATTATCATTTACGCCAGAATAAGCTTTAGTACAATGACAAATGTGGTGGCAAATATAACCACGATAAAGCAGGAGATATTAAGACCGCGGACTGGGGACTCCAGCAAGAACTGAAGACGTGGTCGTCGAGGAGCGACTAATGCAACTGCACTAATTTTACCCACATTTCTACAACTTGCGTGTTACCGCGCAAGCCAGCGATAGGCACGGGCCGACAGTAAGTCCAATGTTGCACATATGGTCCACATTTTGTTATTTTATAAGAAGGACAAACCCGTAAGGACAGCCCACTCTTTTGTACACCTTTTTTGCAGAGCTGATTCTTTAGGTGATAGAGTGCGATACTAAACTCCCTGAGCACAGCGCAGTCACACTTTTATGATGTATGAATAAATATATCATTAAGACATAATTTGTAAAGACACTATAGGTCATTTTCTAAAGCGTAGGCATAAAAAGCTACCTTTGCGAGCTCTAGACGGTCAAAGATTTCTGCTGAAAGAGAATTCGAGGGAGTCTTACTACAGCCATTCAATGTGGTCGTTTATCGGCATGAATTTCCAAGGCCGGCTGCGTGGAGGCATTAAAGTGCTAAGATCACGATTGTGATGCGGTAGAGTTATATCTATTCGGAAAACTGTTGGAAGGAATTAAGTTTTGACAGCCGTTCATACACTTGAAGACTATCCACTTGTTTTGCATCTAAACAACTATTATGTGACTATCTGCTAAATTTGCAACTTACCACTATTTTGTGGCTATCCACTTGTTTTCAAGTGAATTGCTAGCTTTTAAAGGATCTTAAAAACAAGCGACTCTCCTAAATAACACGTGGGTAGTCGAAAATCAAGGAACAGCCGCAAATAAAGTGTACAGCCTCAAAAATTGGATAGCCCTCAAGTGCGTGAAAGGCCTCCCAAAACAAACAACAAATTACTTCACTTCACGCACTGCGCGAACATCGATCCGTGAAGCAGCTTCCGCGGTGCGCGTCCCACGCTTGTCTCACACGACTCATTTAAAGCCACAAGACTATTGGCGCCAACGGATGTTACGCACACTTAGCTATCCTATCCGGCACTCGTATCGGGGTCAATACCTTTCAGACATCATTATCATGCTAACGTGTTTAGAAAAACATAGAATTCCTCCTCGCATTCCTACACTTTTTAATAAGCGTATATTTACCGCAGCCAATTCTCGATCTCCGAACATTCTTTCTTCCACACACCCCGACTTCGATCTGAACCAATTCTATTGAAAACATGTAACGATATTAGGCTCGCAAAAGAAGCTGTTCAATATGAGAATGGCTTTGCGTTTTATGCAAAGGTCGGATAAATGGGGTATCATTTAAATCAAAGGAAGGTATAAGCGCCAGCTGTGCAAGGAGGACACAATCGTATCCGGTCATCTAAAAAATCAGCTCACAGACAAAGTGCACAAAAAAGTGGGCTGTGCTTACCTTTTCGTACTTCTATTACATTTTAAAAAATGGGCCATGACTCCTGAAAAAAAAGAGCAGTAGTGCCATGTTGTATCCATACCTGTTTATTTATTTATTTATACCAAGAAGATGTAGGTGGAATCTTGACCGGCAGCGGCACTCATTTAACGCCATGTCTATCAACATTTGCAAGGGCTTCCAGGCTGCATGATTATCATCTACTGTTTAAATGCCGTTCACATCGCTACTGACTTTTTGTTGTCAGGAGCTAATTGTGTCTTAATTACTAATATTCTTGTCGGGCTGCGACCCTTCACGATCGTAGAAGTATACTTGGTGCGGCTACTGGGGCAAATATCTATGCTGGATAAGTTTCTATAGCTTTTTTAATCACCCAGATATTTCTTTCCGATTGAAATACTAAGCATTCCATTTTTCGATTGACCATTTCCCGCTTGTAGGCTACCACTTGTATTTAAGCAAGTTGCTTGTTTTTCAGGATTCCCCTTAGAGTTGCCCTTTCTATTCCATGTTTTGTGTGGCCGCTGTCACGCTTGTAGGCTATCCACTTGTTCTCATCTATCCACTCGTTTTTTTCGGTGAATCGCTTGTCTTTGCGATCCACCTCATTTTTATGGTCCTTCTTGCAAAAATACTTCTTGTAGGATGCGACTCCTTACTTCGGAAACACTAAAAAGAAAATTGATACAAGCAAACATTTAAAAGGTTTGATAGATTTAAATTATTTTTTAAATACATACTGGACGCCACTCCACTGGTGTGGAGTCCGCCCAGCGCCATTCCGCCACAACAACGCACTTTAAGATGTTACCCAAGGACGCAAGCGCGGTGTTAAGTGGTCTGAGCTCTATAAGTCGAAAAGAACGGCCAGCACAAGATCTTACGTGTTGCGTACAACAACTGCGCTTCAATGTTTCCGTCTCATCTTTGAGCACGAAAGCGCACCTGAGCAACTGCAAGAAGCACCCACGCACGTTCAACTACTTTCCGATCGTCGTAGAGTCATCCAGTTCAGCGGATCATTCCAGTCAGTGCACCACACACCTGCAACATCTCACCAAAAAGTTGATCGCCGATCTTCTCGGCGCACACGTTGACCCACTGTGGTCACGCAAGGAGAAGGACGGGCTCTACACCCTCTTAGCGAACGCGACGCACGAGACTGACACGACATTTAAATATTTTGACCACCGTTCGTGGCAGGCATTTTTCACCCACTTTGTGTCCCTGGTTGAGTGTGCGATCCACAGAATCCCTTGGCAACGGCCTCCTCATTGAACAATATGTGAAGTGCATGCAACTGGCATTTTAAGACCTGCACACGACAGCGGCCGTGATTATTGGTGTAACGGGGCGCCCTTTTGCTTGGGGTGCCGCGAAACTTCACGAACACTAGTACGTACAGAGGACGCTAAGCTACTTAAACGACTCGATCAAGTAAAGGTAACACGAGAACTGTATCTGATATAGTTAAGCTATCAACATAACTTTAATCATTATCTAATTATATTAAACTACGTCGTCGTGTGACGACAACCTGCTCACCACTCATTGCGCGCGTCTAGCAGCGATTGCTGGAAATTCATAATTGATATGTCTTATATCATCCAATCTTGGAGCAGCGAATGAATATTTTCCAAAAGGGAAGAAAATTCCTTCAATATTACCCATTCCGGATAGCATCGGTAGAATATTGTCATGCTAGACAAAATTCCAATTGGCACCGTTTGGTGTCAATTTCATGTAACGGGATACCCCGTTACATCACCCCCCATAACCATCAATCATCCGTTGATTGAATAAGAATTGATTGGGACAGGGTGACCACCTTTGGATCACCCTGGGAAAGGGAGCACTCGTTGGTCAAATTCCATTCATTTGCCAATACACCGCATGGCTTCGAAAACCACGCGAGCTGCTACTGCAGAAGCAAGAAGAGCGGCTGCACGCATGCGTGCGGCCGCGGAAAGTGCCTCTCACGCCTCAGCAGCAGGAGATTCGTCGCCTGTTGTCGTGAATCGTCCACGTGGTGGGTCACCACGTGCGACAGGTACATCCGTTGCGCCTGCAGCGGGTACCTCAAATCGTAATCCAGACGAGTCTGAGATAGAGCGCATCTATTCTGGCGAGTCGGATGATGCATCCGACTCGAAGGCGACTCCTCACACCTCCGGATCACCCGGGGCGGACACTGCAAGAGCCAGGTTGACTAGATCTGGTCGACGTGGCGGCATCATGCTCGAGGTCTTCAGATCGAGTAATTGTTCCGACGAATCTCCGCCTCGCGCAACTCCATCCAACGATAGGACGCGTGAGGATGGTGGGGATGCACCTACACATCACCACGAGCGAAGTAACTCGAGGGATCGAGCTGTCACTGGTGTCAGTGCTCATGCTGACACAAATCAAGATGCCAGGGACAGAAATGTCCTGCACCATGCTCCTCAAATGGAGTCTCCTTGGATGCCGTCATCCAAGGAGTTGGACCGGTTGGCCGGCATGACTATTGATCGAGATCGAATCCCGTTGTTCGATTGCAGGAAGATTTGCCCACCTGATTTCAGCACGGAAACTATCTGTGCTGAGGAAGGGTTCTTCACCGATGCGTTTCAAACATCGGTGGTACAACGGTAGCCGTGTGCGAGATGCCAAAGCCTTGGTGCAAGGATGGAATGCCCTCATCCACAACATCGAGTGTATTGGCCGTGAGGCTTGGCTCGCCAAACTCGATGCAGCTCGCATCAGGTTTGAGAAACGCAAACCCGTCGGGGCGCGATACAAGTTGCACCGGCTTTCAAGAGAGGCAGGATTACCCTGTCTTTAGAGGGGTGATTCGTTTCCAGGCTGCCTGGACAATTCGAACCGTGCCCCTAGGGAGGCCTACCTCCCTAATGATCCCTACTGGAGGGCGCACATCTCTTCCGAGATGGCCGAAGGGATTGAAACCTTTCAATCCCTGTACTCGCGTTCGGGGAATCGTTTTTCGACGGACCTTCTTCGAACGCAGCGTGCGGATCTCGTCATGTTGCTTAACGAGATCCAAGACATCAACAATCAGCTGAGAACGAGGCTCCCAGCTGTCCCACGCCGGTGGATAGCCACGCCCGCGGACGAGGTAATTTTTTTTTAAATTTGTCCGGACGCCATTCACATCGCGGTGGTTCAAAATACGCTCCACTAGAAAGCGTTGACCACCGCCTGAGTCCATATAATGATGTGGTGGCGGCGGGAACACCTGACCCGGCTCGAGGGTCGGATCAGCTTGATGTTTAAGAGCTGAACAGTGTATCGGAACAGTTGTAAGATGACCTGGCTCACGAACGGACTCGGCGTTATGAGCTTAAGGATCTTGTAAGGGATAATTCCAATTCCCTAACGCACGATCGTTCGGACGATCGTGCTGTTTTGCGTTCGCGCAACTTGAGAACGAACGTTCGACTCGTTATCTTCGTGACGAGCTGGCTGTAGCTCGTCGAGACATCGCTGAACTGCGTGAACAGGTCGCTTCACTAGTCGACCAGACTGGCTCGTTGAAACGGGACCACTCGAAGGTGGTCTCGGCTCTCGACCGCGGAGGTGTTCTTCGCATCTCGAAACGAGCTCGTACTGATAGTACGGGCGGAGACGACCGACGCAAAACGTAGGATGCGTATGAATCTTACAGGGCATTTCAATCGTGTATGCGTTGCCCATTCGGCGCAACACACGAAATAGACCAATGTACTTGGGCAGTAATTTACTGCTGCCCACGTTTGTCACTGCGTGTTTTGGTAGGTTTACTGTAGACAGCAAAACTAGGTCTCCTTCATCAAATGAGAGAACAGTTGCTCTTCCATGTTTGTCTGCGTTTCTTTTCTGATTGTCTATTACATTTACAATAGACTCTTGAATGAAGCGGACAACCGCTTCGCGAGTCAGCAAAAACTCCTCTGCTGATTCATCCTTGTCAACAGCAGTGCGCTCCGTGTGCAATACTGAAAGAATATTGTCTTCGCCAGTGAGGGAATCATTGTCCTCACTGCGGTGGTCGTTGGCGATGCTGAATATACCAGCATCGTCGTCATCATCATCATCGGTATCGATTGCATCGACATTGGCATCCATCACGTCGACACCATTGTCGACGGGTGATGAGCAAGAACCAGATCGTTTTTGTTCGTACGAGTTCACCCCCCCCTAAACTAGAGTCACACTCTAAGAAGGCGGGTAAACGTGGATGGCGTAGGCCATTCCAAAGAACGGTGTACGCGTTGTCGAAGCGTGCACCTAGTTGTTGATGGCAAATTATTAAAAACATAAATTAATTTTTTTAAATTTATTATTACCTAGTGGTGCAAGTATTGCATTAGTTTCTATTTTAGTTCCTATTGAATTAGTTTCGTATATTTTTCGCGTAATAAGTTTACCTGTTCGATTATTTGAGAATACGATAATAATTACGCAAACAACAGAAATTACACAAATAAATCCTACAGATAGATTCAGAATGATATTAAGACCTTTTATCCTACAGGAATAAATAGTTTTTGTGAAAGAATAGAAAACAGACTTGATGGCAAATTCCTCCATCGGCAAGAACTCACTACAACTCGTTAACGAGTGGACATACCCTCGAAGTATCTCTTCGAGGACGCGGTTGACGCGTTCCGTCAGACCATCTGTTCCGGGTTAGTCAGAAGATGATATCGTCAAACGTGTTCCAAGTGAACAGAACACGGATTGCCAGAACTCCGCCGTGAAGAGGGGGTCCCTATCAATAACGAGCTCATGGGGTAACCCCTGAAGTCGGAAGATGGTATCGACGAAGACACGAGCACATCCCTAGCAGCTGTGATTGACTCCGGTACAGCAACAAGATTTACCATCTTGCTGAACCGATCAACAAACACAAGAATACCAGTATTTTTGTGAACTTTTTTGGGAAACCCGAAGACGAAGTCCATCGATACGGACTGCCAACAATCTGCCGTAATCGGAAGAGGCTGCAAGGGTGCGCGGGATGAAGGACTAGGCTTCACCCGTTGACATACTTCGCAAGCGTGGATGCATTTGCGCACAAACTCATACTGGTGGGGCTAGTAGAAGTCACGACTCACCATGAGGTAAGTCTTTTATCTACCGCGATGCCCACTTGTTGGGGCATCGTGACACTCCTAAATGATGCGCAATCGCAAATCATTATGAGCCGGAAAGACGACACGAGGTGTGTCGCCGTTGACTGCTGCATAGTATAGCAGTCCATCACGGACAGAATACCGTTCGGACGAAGAGCGGTATTGAGACGACAAGCTTTTCAAAGCTTGATTACACGGATTGGATACGTAATCCATCAACCGCAGAAGAGACTCATATTCTGTGTATGCTTTTCGCACATCGTCAAGCAGATTAGACGACGGAACACTCACTGTTAGTGTCGCGACAGTGGGATCACCCCTACTATTGGGTTGAGCAGTCGGCTCGAAGTCGGGTCAACGCGAAAGAGCATCAGCGACGACATGAAGTCGTCCTGGTTTAAACTCGACGGAGAAGTTGTATTCCGCGAAGAAAGACAGCCACCTCGCTATTCGTTGCAAGAGGTGTGGACTGTTTACGGCCGTGCGTAACGACGCATGGTCGATATAAATGATGAAGGGCCTATGTCCTAAGAGATAGACCCGAAACTTAGCCTGTGCATATTTCATGGCAAGGAGTTCCTTGTCATGCACCGGGTAATTACGCTCAGCTTCTTGCAGCTGAAGCGATTGATAACAGACGACGCGCCCAACGCCGTCTGAGTCGTACTGCATTAACCGCACCCGATTACATATCGCTGGCGTCAGAGACCACATAAAATGGTCTATCCTGGTCTGCAATCTCCAACACGGGCAATTGCACCAAGCTTTTCTTGATACCTTCAAAAGAGTGCTGACACTCAGAACTCCATGACCACCTCTCGTTTTTCTTTAGCAGACGAGAGAGATGTACAGTCATCTCGGCATAGTTGCGCGAGTACTTGTGGAAGTACGCCGCCAAGCCAAGGAAATTTCGAATTCCCTTGACGTCGACTGGCACGGGCCAGTCGCTAATCGCCTTGATCTTTTCCGGATCAGGGCGTACACCGTTTTTACCCACGATGCAGCCAAGAAGTGGTATTTCGTTCGCTGCGAATATACACTTCTTGAGGTTCGCGAACAACTTACGCTCTCGCATTAGTGTAAGAACCTTCCGGACTTGGATTCTATGAACCTCCACGTCCTTCTTTCCATCCATAGTCCGGTTATGTACGAAGATATCGTCGAAGTAACTCGGTGCAAAATCGCGCACCGATTGCAACAGATTCGTAACACATCTGTTAAACGTTGCGGGGGCGTTACTTAGCCCCTGCGGCATCACTAGCCACTCCCAGAGCATACCACTGGGGGTGCTCACTGCTGTGTAAGGGATATCTCGCTCACGCATGAGGATCTATTAGAATCCATCCATCAGATCCATGGTCGAAAATATAGTAATCTTTGCCATACCATCTATGATGACGTCCTTCCTTGGGATTGGCGTTTGAGCCGGTACCGTTGCAGCGTTCAGTTTGTTGAACGCGTGCACTATCCGCCACCCTCCTGTAGCCTTTCGCACACAGAAGGTCGGAGATCTGTGTGGGGATGTTGATTCCCTCACATGACCAGCCGCTAATCGATGGGCAAAAAAATTTCGATCGCTTTTACCTGTTCACGAGGCAGTGGCCACTACTTCATGACACAGTATTACGATCCAGGTTTTAGTTCGATCTTATCGCCGAGTGCCTTTATCCTTGGGCAGCTTGCATGGCACGGATTTCGGGAAAACACCCCTGAATTCCACCAAATCCTTATACAAAGGATTTGTCTTTAAAGACTCCCAAGATTGAGACGTGTATCTCTCAATCCGGGTCTTCTCATCGAGGACACTCTTGTCCATCGATGAGCTACTGAGAACCCGTTCGTTCTCAGCAAACACTTGTGCTGACCGAATATCGGCGACGTACTCGTCCTCTGTGACGAGTACGCAGATCTGCTTGATCTTGTCACTACGCAGATCTCGCAAGAATCTTTTAGATTCTAGCGTTGGCAACTTGACCACCTCCGAAGCTGACTTCGGGGGCGTCACCAGATCAAGTGTATCAGCGCCTACACTTGTCCTTCATTCACCAAGGCATTAACTGACTCGGTGATTTCCTGGGAAAACACATCCGCAGGTGGTTGGGGACCCACACCCTCAACATAACTCTCTCGGGAGTTATTGCTCTCAGGAAAGTCGGAATTTTCTTCCGTTACGGGTACTATCACGGTCACGTCCTCTTCGATCGACTCTCTTTCAGTCGAGCGGGCTTGATCTACGATCGACTCTCTGATAGTCGATCTCGCTTCAACGTGTTGTTAATCCTGAACGACACTAATCTCTCTTACCGGATGCACCCTTCTTGGTGTGCATCCGTGTTCCAGTCCACTCGATCTCTTCGATTAGTGAGCCTTCGGCGCAGCCTGTGTCTCTACATGTGCCGGAAGATGGCTCCACAGTGCAGTGGCTTTCTACACTGTGATCTTGTGCAATCGTACTGACGACCGTACCACAGTGTAGTGGCTTTCTACACTGTGATCTTGTGAAGTCATACTAACGACCGTACCACAAGTGAGGCCATCGCACTCACTCATAGTACATCTACACGCTTGTGGACGCTCCAAGACGTTCATCAGATGGCCATCCGATGAACAAACGACAGGCATCTTCACGGATCGATGCTGCCAGCTAACCCATGGCTGGTACTTTCTAAGCCATGGCAGACCAAGGAGACATCAAATTTGTCATCCAAATCTAATACGATAAACTAATCATCGTACTGCTTTTCTTCTAGCCTGTAGTGGATTCCTACTACACGTTTGTTCACTGTGACGGATGGTCCTGTAGCAAGGCACACCGTAACCTCGTTGGAGGAAACTCTCGATCAACATTGTTGAGTCTACTATCCCTTAGCGACTGGCGTCGAATGAAACTGTTCGACGCCCCACAGTCAACTAGGGCGCGAAGTGACATTCCACTTGTCACTTCAATCTTCAAAGTGATGAGAGACTCCTCATCACTAGGGGCAGTAACACACAAAGACTGTGTGTTGGGAGCAATCTTCGTCAAGAGTCCTGCAAGTTCTCTTGACGTTGCTAGATTAGCAGGGTGCTCCGCCCCTACTGACCCTGAACGTTTTTTGACGGTCCTGCTTGCTGTTGCGGCTTAGCGGCATGGTCGGACCTACGCCGTGGACCTTTCCTTGGCCAACGGTGGTCATCGCGTCCTGTCTTTGGACGTGTTGCAATGTTCGGTATACCACACTCATGAGCGTAGTGTCCAATTTTCTGACAGCGATGGCATTTTGCCGTTCGCTTGTGACTCAGAGCGAGAGTTATCGCTATCGATGTAACAGAGGTCCATTGGTTCGGGACCTCCGGTTTCCTGTCGCCTCATCGGACGATATTTGGACGAGTTAGCCTGAGACTGTCTCGGGCTGAAGTCTTCTTGTTCTGCATACGCTATCGCCCTTTCCAGCGTATAGAAATCCTCTTGGAACATGTAAGTCTTCACCGGCCCATCCAAAAGGCCGTAGATGAACACGTTGATAAGCGTGTGCTCATCAACAGGGTTCTCCATAACGCTACTTGCAAGGTATCGTAGGTGCTGTGCGTAAGCGTACACGTCACTTTACCTTGCTTTAGCCTCAAGAGTGCAGAGCGTGCTCTGAACTCGGCTCTCGGCGGCTCAAACGTCTCCTTAATGCGAGACTTCAAGATCTCCAACGACTTTAACACGTTTGGGTTGTGAAGCTTGAGCCCTAAGGCCCAATTCTTTGCTCGTCCTGTCGAATTTGACAGGGCGAAGGTGACTTGCATCTCGTCACCCTCGATGTGACGGGCCCTGATGGCATCGTCTAACTCGACGAGCTATCTCAAAAGGGAATCTTCATCGGTTCCCTTGTACCTTGAGACATCAATCTTCAAGGTTTCGGGTCGACGCATGTGCGTCGGCCCGCCCATCGACTGATGAGAGCCTTGATGATGTAGCAATGCTATCTTCTGTTGCTCGACGCCAAGTTCCCCTTGCAGGAA